TATTAAATTTTTTATTTAAAATTTAGTTTTATTTAAAATAAATGGCATCACAGAGTTCACAACCTTTTATTATTTTTTACTTCTCTTTACCATTGTGAGTGATGGTTAGTGTTGTTAATTTAATATAATTAAGAATCACTCAGAAGATAGGCCTTTGGGTATGCATGTGGGAGATTATCTTGATTGTATTGATTGTTATGGAAAGATCTTCCCACTGTGGGTGGCACCGTTCCCTGGATAGGATTCCAGACTGTGTAACTGGAGAAACAGAGCAGAGCACTGGCATGTGTTCATGGCTCTCCATTTCCTGCTTATGGGTATCTTGTACCCAGTTACTTCAAGCTCCTGCTGCCTTTACTTCAGGAAATGATGGACTGTCTCCTTGAACTGTGATCCAGAATAAATTCTTTCTCTTTTAAGTTGCTTCTGTCACAGTGCTATTAGATACAGATATCACCTAAGAGAAACTAGCCACAATTTGGAACCAGCTTTAAGTCTACAAGGCAAGGAATCGAGTGGTGTTGGCCAACCCTTTAGCTATTTAAGACATCAAAAGTAGCACTAGCGATGGATACTCTATGGAGCATCGTATGGGAAGTACCTGAAGAAGAGTGTACAGTGGTCACTGCATTCATATCAGTGTCCACCATGGAGCCACAGCTGGATTCTGCCAAGCTCCCTCGGACAGTCACTGGTGCAGTGCTAGCATGGCGAAGGGCTGCCTTCAGTGGTGCTATGTGGTTGTACTGGACTGAAGAAAGACATCCAACAAAACCCAAGGCGTTGGCTCTAGCAACTTCAGGATCCAAGCCAAGAGTCTCTGCAAGGTAAAGAATAATCATAAGTCTTAGTCCAGAATAGTCTGTGTGTTGTCTTTGAGTATTATTTAAAATAACTGGAATCCCCTTGTTATTCTCTGAATAAGAAGAACTCTCCCCACATCTGCCTTTGCCCACTCTTCTCAGCTCCAGCTTCACTGCAGGCATCAGCATATCAATCAACTATATTTCAGGGAAGACTGCTAGAGCCATCTCTGCTTTGATATAAAAATGTTTCTAGCTTTAAAAATTTCACTCATATATTTATGAACTGTAGAAAGGGTAATAAATCTTTATCATGCTCCAGATGTTTGAAAGAATTTGAGTCTCTGTCCCCATCACCATTTATCTATAGAAGTAGGTAGTTAACAGGAGTGTACCATGAGGCTTATTATAATATTTGTCTCACAAATAGAGCAAGGAAAAATGAGGAGAAATGGAATTAGAGATGAAAGGGGTCCTCCCAAAGATGGGTCCTGCTCATTGTTTCAAGGCAGCTGTTTGTACTGAGCCAGTAAACAGTTCTACTGGCCAACCTTTCTCTCTCTCTCTCTCTCTCTCTCTCTCTCTCTCTCTCTCTCTCTCCTCTCTCTATCTCTATCTCTCCCTCTCCTCGCTACCTCTCTTTCCCTCTCTCTGAATGTGTGTGTGTATATACATCTCTTCCTCTCCCTCGCTACCTCTCTTTCCCTCTCTCTGAATGTGTGTGTGTATATACATATATATATATATGATGAAAATGTAATCAATTGTGGTTCACAGCAAGATCAAATATCTCATTTTCTTCAAGATTTATAGTAATAAAACTCAACATCCCATTTCTCTTAAAAAGGGCCATTTGGACAAATTGCTCTGGTGCAATTACATAAAACTGAAATGCATAATGAACCATATTTTTCTAAAGGTATAATAGTTTTAACATAGCTAGATGTTTCAACTGGTTATTTTATTATGATAACTTCTTAAGTTTCTGGAAGAGGGGCAGGAATTTTGCTATCTACCAGCACACATTATAATTTTTTTGATTTGTAAATGATCAAATAGCACCTTTGTGGAACCCTAAATGGTCAAATAGCACCTTTGTGGAACCCTAACGCTGGCAGCGTTAAGGAACAGATGCAAGGAGAACATGGTAGAAAACTAGAAATGAACAGCCCTTAATAATTCTTACCCTTCTCTAACTTCTTTAATTCTTTTTTTGTTAAAGATTTATTCTTATGGGTGTGTGTGTGTGTGTGTGTGTGTGTGTGTGTGTCTGTGTGTGTCTGTGTCTGTACTGTGCATGCAGGTGACCACTACAGAAAAGAGTACCAGATCCCCTGGAGCTAGAACTTAACAGACATAGGTGCTAGGAACCAAACTCTGATCTCTGGAAGAACAGCAAGTGCTCTCAATCAAGACCTCTGTTTTAACTCTTAAATACTGCTGTGCTGCACAGTGGCCACTCAACAAGTTTTGAGAATTAAAATGCTGCATCTTTTCATTTATTTTGAGGACGTGATTAGCCTTTGTCATTTATTAGTTTTTGAGATGTAAAAAGTCTTTTGAAGTTATCCTTTTTTTTTTTACATTTCCATTTATGTAAGGATCAGGCATATCATTACCAGGGTTCTCCAACTGAGAGTATTTTCCTTTCAATAATTATTTTTGATTCTTAAATGTTTACTAATATTAGGATGAGAGTGTGTATACACATATACAGGTCAGATGGAAAGCTTGAGTAATTGTTTCTCTCCTTCCACTGGTATCTCAGATGGAACTCTGGTATTTATTCTTACATGACAAGCATTTTTGCCAACTGAATCATCTCACCAGCCCTTGAGTATATTTTCTGATATCATAGATTCTTCATTTCTTTTGAGAAACATCTCAAGGTCTGCATCCTTACTATGCATCCAGAATAAGCACACTTCCCTTGAGATAAGATTTTATTCAACACATTCTTCCTTTAAGACAAGAAAGTCATTTTCAAGCATTTCACCCAGGACGTAAGGGGCCTGGGTAAAGGACATAACATAGATGACAGAATGCATGAAATCTTGTGGGTGGGTATGGGAGATGCTGGATATGGAAGGGGTCTGAATTTGATTAAGATCTATTATATGAAATGCACAAAAACTCAATAAAATATTTTAAGGGAATTAAAACACAGGAAAAATCTTCAATACAACAGGTAACAAATTTCAAAAGTAACTGAACACCCTCATACAGAGAAAAGCCCTCCACAAGTAAAGGGGGGGATTAGAAACAGTAAAATCCAAATCCTCCAGGGGGGATTGGGCCTTCTAATCATTCTTGGTGATAAGGGGCAGGGTCCCTTTCCCTAATTTGAAATTGATCAACTTTAACAGAGAAGCAGGTGCTAATAGGTCTTGACTATCTCAAGCTGAGATGCATCCAGGGCTCTACGACTCTAAGCCCATCACAGCAGTTCAGTTGAAAGGGTTCTGATGGAGTTTAAAAATAAAACCTTCCTGCCAGAGTTAAGAATAAAAACTGCCAAGCTTTTGTCCATCAGCCTGTCTTTTATCTCTCTTCCTGTTAGGGTGTTTATCTGCCTTCTCTTTCAGCCTCTAACCACTGCTTGCTTAGAGATTCTGAAATAGCATTTTGCTCATGTTCCTGGAAGATCTTTCACATTTCAATGTCATCACCTGCACTAAATTCCCCAGCATATTCTTCTTTCCTCTCACAGCCAAAGTCATCTTCCTCTACCTAAGATGTCACCTGAATTATTTACTTGCCTGTTAGATTCATCTTTCAAGATTACTGATAGCTCACAAATATGGGAGATTTCTGATTCCTGACAATTGTTGTTAAACACTGCACAGTGTATAAGTCATATATATATATATGAATGTTTTGCATTGCAAAGAGAGGCAGCACTTATCCAGGTAGTGAGGGGCAGGAAGGCCTTTCAGGCAGAGGGAGCCATGTGTGCATATTTGAGAAAAAACAAGTTCAAGTGCTGTGTTACACAGGTGTGGTTGCAGGGTGGATAAAGTAGTGTAGACTGTAATTCATTAGAGGTTAAGGAGATAATGTTTCCTTTTAGTAAATCAATTGCAGCATGTGTAGAAACATGTTAAACATAGCATAATAGAAAGAAAAGAACAAGGGCATGAGAGAAACCTAAGTTCCAGCCATGGAACCATAAACTGGCCATGGACAGGTTAATTTGATTTGGTCAATTATCTGACCCTGTTTCTTGTTTGTCTTAACAAGATTTGGGGTATTATTATCTGATACATCTTTACTTCACAGGGTTGAAACATTTATGTAGAATATAGCATCTGTATAATGAAAATGTAAAAAACTTGAAACAAAGACCAAGTTTGTGTGTCCATATCTGTATAAATCTGTTTGCACGTGTGTAATGAAATTTGGTGTTCCCTTTCAGGTTTAAAAGATTTACCAAAATACATGGGTCCGAGACACTGAATACTTCTCTTTTATATTTTATTTGTTTTGTGCATGTATGTGTGTGGGATCTGTCTGTGTGCAGGGTGTAGGAGTATATGTGAACATGTTTGTGCAGTTATGGATGCCTGTGCCCACATGTGGAGACCAAAGGACAACAGATGTCCTGCTTCATCACTGCCCATCTTAGTCCCTTGAGACAGGGTCTCTCATTGATTGTGAAACTAGGCTGGTGCCAGAAAACCCCAATAATCTGTCTTGCTACTCCTCGCTGGCTAGGGCTATAGGTGGGTGGGCAGGATCACATCAGGCATTTTACATGAGTGTTGTGGATTTGAATTCAGGTCCTCATCCTTATACAGCAAGTGTTCTACCCACTGAGAAATGCCCACAGGCATGACAATGAACACTTCATCTAGTTTTCAATTTGTTCCTGTATTCATAGCCACAATGAAATCTGGAAATAAAACCTTTTTGTCTTATATACATATACATATACATACACACACACACACACACACACACACACATATATATATATATATATATACACACACACTCTCCTCTTACCTCCATTCATATCAGTTCCTCTTACTTATATTTTATCTTGGTAGAATGTGATACTCTATAAGCCAGTGTCATGTGGCCATAAATGGCTTGTTTTGTGATACTTAAAGATTCAAATGTCATGAATGGCTTTTGATATATAACTAATGTCACATTTTCTCCCAAAACTAAGACTGTTTTTAGAAATTTTCTGATGTCTTCTAGTTCTTTTCTAATAACAAAAATCTAATAAACCTACCTGACTAAAGTCATCCTAGATTATCTCTGATCCTCTCTTCATATCAAAACTTGCAACTATGTCAAGCTTCATGCATTCTGCGGCTAAAATAGTTTCAGTGTCTCTTTTCTTCGCATTACCTATCCTCTGACTTTGATAGAAGAGCAGGGCTCTACACTGAAAAAAGGAGTGTTTGCACATTAATGTAGAAATTCAGGTTTTTAAATGCTGGAAGAAGAGGGCTAGAGACATTATTCAGCATCGAAGAGTATTTGAGGAGACATGAGTTCAGTTCCTAGCATACCTGAACTCCCGTTCCAGAGCACCTGACACACTCTTCTGGACTCTGATGGTACCTGTATGCATGGTATGCATGGTGGTATTCATTCTCTCTCTCTCTCTCTCTCTCTCTCTCTCTCTCTCTCATAAAAATGATAAAAATCTTTTAAAATGACTATAAAAGTTATTCTATAATAAATTACCAACTGAGACATTCAATGTTTAAGTGAATGTTCATCCAGTGAATGTGGTGGTTTGAATAAGAGTGTCCCCCTTAGGCTCAAGTATTTGGGCATTTTGTCCCCAGTTTTGGGAGGCTTTAGGAGGTATGGACATGCTAGAGAAAGCATGTCACTGGGGGTGAGTTTTGAGAGTTTTTAAGCCTTGCCAAATTTCCAGTCATTCTCTGATTCCTGTGCTTGTTTCAAGATGTGAGCCCTCCTCTTTCTGCTCAGGCCTCTTCTTACCACTGTGTCTTCCTGCCATGATGGACTCTGATTCCTCTGGAACAATAATCTCAAGCACATTTCTCCCTTCATAAGTTCCCTTTGTCATGTTACTCCTCTAACATCTCCCCATAACAAATGCATCCTACTAATAGTAACAGTTTTATAAGCAGTATAAAACTCCTTAAGAGGAGTAAGTTTGAGAGTTCTAGTGCACATTATAGTGACTACAGTTAATAAGAATGTATTGTGAGCCAGGCATATTGGCACATGCCTGTAACCACAGCACCTGGGATAGTGTGGCAGAAGAATCCTGTGTTCTGGACCAGTATGGAAAGCACAGTGGGGTCCTGCCTAAAACAAACAATTGAAGGAACAGACCCAAAAAGAGTATGTGTTGAAGAGCTAAAGAAGAGATTTTAAGGGTGTTCACTCCCAAATAAATATATCTGAGCTAATGAATATATTTATTTGTTCGATTATTATATTTTATTTATTTATTTAAGTGGGGGGTGCATACACTGTGTGCTAGTGTATTGAGACCAGAGAAAGGCATTGGTGCCTTCCTCTCTTTCTCCCTGCCTTATTTCCTTGAGATAGGGTTTCTCACTGAACATGAATGTCACCATTTCTGGTAGGCTTACTGGCCAGGGTGCTTGTCTGTCTATACTGCCAATGCTGGGATTATAGGCAGAGCAGTTAAGACAAGTTTCTTTTACAAGACATTGGGTATTCAAATCCAAATCATCATGCTTGTGTAGTAAGCCCTCTTACCCATGGAACCACGTCCCCAGTCACTAATGAAAATAATTAAATAATTTTATTTGGCCATCTCAAAATATATCATTTTGGGCAACATAAATATATACAAGAATACGTAAACAAAATAATGTAGAACAAGACTGCATTTATGGATACTCAGCTGAGAATGAGATATATTGCTGTTTTAAGTTTTCCCATCCTCATGTGGCAGACAAAATGATCTCTGTTTACAGTGGAGGAAATAAAAGCTCAGAAATAAGGAAAGAGGTCATTTGTACAAGAGTGTGATTCATCAATTCTGTTTCTTCTGACACCCACATTGGACCAGTAATGCATGCTGCCTGTACGTTGGTATTTGAGGGCAGGGCTGAAATCTGAAGAAGAGGAAATGCTGTTGTTTGTTAGCATTAAAGCGTGTAGAGAGAGATAAACAGTCCATTTCCAATCAGGCAGTTGGAAATGGAGTGTTTTCCTTGAAAACATCTATGGTTTCTCAAAGTGCTTGTGTGTTAAAAAAAGAAATTCCCAGGTGCTTCTTTGAATGTGACTTCTGTATACTAGAAAATCTGTAGAACAGTGAGGAAGGGAATATTGGTGAGATTTTTGGATTTCCATTCTTCATGCTTGTGAGAAACCACGTTCACTGTGAAACTTGCCTTCGATTTTCATTCTCCAGTTCAGTGCATAAAATGGGGAGGGGGTTTAAATTTGAATAAGGCCTATTATATGGAAGGCCCAAAAGCCCAATAAAAATATTTTAAAATTAAAATATATTTTTAAACAAGTTGACTAAACTATGACCTTAGAAATTTTAAGATTACGTATATTTTTGCCTTACCCTTTATATATCATAACAAATCTACACAGATCTTCATCACTTGCTTAGGCTTTCTCATTTTTTCTACTTTGGAAAATATCTCCATTTCCATATCCTTTTAATTTCTTTTACATTCTCATTTTCTTTTTTTAAAAAATAATTATGACACATAACATTAACAAATAAATTTTCCATCTGTTGTGAGACTTCTTTTCCTGGGATGCTAACTAAGCAATGCTTATTCCCTCTTAAGGTTCTAGTGTCAAACCAATGTTTGATTAAAATTTTACTGGGGAACCAATGAATTTACTGAGCTTGCTTAGCAAGATAAATAAGGGGTTGCTGAGGACTATGAATGACCTGAGGGTATGCACACTGGAAAGCCTTTACTCAGAATGGATCAAGCCTTCTCTTCCTAACCTTCCCTAGATTACATACTTTAGCCCTCCCCAAATCCAGGAGACCATGTGTGATTAGGGCCAAATTACATACAGTTGGCTGGGAAGAGTGGCTGAATACTCTGGTGAGGGTACAGTGACCCTCCTTGGCCCTCCTTTAATGAAGGAGCACAACCGCCAAATCTTGGTTTTTAATACTGTAGTGCCCACCTGTAGCTAAGGGAGACAACCTGCTATTGTTCTAAAATGATGGATAAATTTGTTTTCTCCCACTATCTGGAATCCTTTGAGAGGGAATGGACACTGAATCAAACGACTCCAACAGCTATCCAAGTGCCTGAAGGCAAATCCTGAATCCATCAAACTCAAGACCAGCCTTGGCAGACAAAAGAATACTGAGGAGGAACCCAGTAGACGGATGCCTTTGGAGGCTCTCATCAAGAAACTCCAATTGACTGTCACATGAACATTTGAAATTTGCCCTGTTCTGACATTTTTCTAGTTCCCTGTCTAGAACTTGTAATGTTAATTACTCTTGCCTTTACTTCTCCTTCACATCTCCTATTGGCAAGTCAAGAATTTTCTTCTCCCCCTACAGATAAGAATTATGCAATCTTGGAGTCTTTTAGATAGAACCACTGAAGGGGTACTCTAATTGCCTCACCCTGCATGCCTATTCAGCATGGAAGAAGACAGAGCAGTCTGTATCCTGATTCCCTATCCACAAATTGGGTAACCCCTTCAGAGGATGGCGTGATAGGAATAGGAGGTAAGAACTGGCTAGGCAGTTAGGGTAAAAAGACCCCAAAGAAATGTAGCCAGTTTCTTGGTGAAAAGCAAAAATGCCCTTGGGCCTCTTAACAACATACTCTGTTCCAAAGGCCCAAAATGTTGAAAGTTTTTGGGAGCCCGTATCTAATCCTTAAAAGATTTTAGGGTTACCTCTTTAGAGGGGGGAATGTTAGAGCAGCAAAAAGTCCCATAAAAAAAGAAGAGTGTGGGGACCTAAAAGGCCCACCTTGCATAGGTCCGAAAGGAAGCTATTGGGGGTGCCGCCAGGCTTGCTTTGAAAGTCTGAAGAATACTTCCGCACTTCTAAGGAGTGCATGATCAGCTCCTGACCATCCTTAAGATACACCCTGGGGGGGCGGGATTTCCAGGTGCCTTTACGAGCTCTGTAATACCTATAATAAATGAGTCCCTGCTTGACTAGACTCCCCATTGCGTCTGAGTGTTCCCGGTACTGGGGGTGGCGTGGGCTGTGGAAGGGCATGCTTACTCATCCCCAGTCATCACTGTGCCGGGGATTGCTGGTTCGAATCCCCGGCAAAAGACTACATGAAGTTATCAGAAAAAAAAGAGATGGGGAGATATGGGAGGAATTGGAGGGGAGAGAGCGGGCATGGATTTGATCAAAACACCTTATAAGCATGTGTGAAATTCTCAATAAATTATTTTGAAAAATAAAATAAAGTGACGAAACTTAAAAAGTTCCCTTAACTAGGGCCTGCATTTAATGTAAGCATAACCTACCCACTGAAATAAGTGGATTAGGAAATAGATGGTCTTTAATACAGTGCTGAGTACAGTGAATTGTAAAAAAGTCAATGAACTGTGAAAAACTCAACCAAAATGACACATTTTCCTTAGATTTAATGATATATTTCTTTTACAAATTTATGTAAAATTGTTTCACTCTATACAGATGGTTGTTATTTTAAAGTTTGTTGAGAGACAGCATTGTTTATATAAGGAGCTTGGCACCCAAAGTCATACAAATAATTTAACCCTAACCTGTGCTTCAGAATTTATGTGTATCTTTACCTTCTCCGAGTCACCATTCAATATCTTCCTTATATAGGACAGTAATACAACCTTGAGGGAATTCAGAAAGGAGTCAAAAGTACTTTAAAATAAACATGACTGCCACTGGAGAGATGGCACAGCAGTTAAGAGCACTGACTGCTCTTGCAGCACCCACATGGAGGCTAACAGTTGTCCTTAACTCCAGTTTCAGGAACTCAATGCTCACCTCTAGCCTCCACAGGCATTGCCTTGGATGCAAATGGTGCACTTACATATATGCAAACAAAGCATTCATGCACATAACAATAAATAATAATAAGCAAATAAACAAACATTACTGTCTGGAACTGGAGAGATGACTCAGCACATAAGAGCCACTAGCTGCTCTTGCAGAAGACCAGAGTTTAGTTCCCAGCATCCAGGTCAGGTGACTCATAACTGCTTACAACTCTATCTCTGAGGGATCTAACACCCTCTTCTGGACTCTGTGGGCACTGCACTCCTCTGCATAAATGCACACGCTGACACCCACAAATAGAAAAAAATTTAAAATAAAATCTTAAATATTTTTTTATTTTTTATTTTATAATGTATATTTTTATTGAGGCTTTCTGAATTTTATATAATAGATCTTAATCAAAGTTAGACCCCCTGACTCATCTGTGCCCC